CTCCAGGACGAGAGAGTTCAGGACCTGAAACAGAATGGGAACCTGTCTCTTCCTGATGAGGACTCAATTCTTTATTAACCACCAGGGCATTGCCCTTTCCTGCTCACAGTCAGTGACCATCCCCACTGGTCACTGGGAGGGTAACACTTCCCCTCCCACTGCCATGAAGAAGTCTCTTGAATCTGTATTTCAGAGCATTCTGTGTTTATTCCCAAGATTTCCTCCAGGACTGTTAATGGTTAGAAATCTGTCTAAAACGAGAGCCCTGGCTCCTCATTAGTTGCTTGACTATGGATAGGGAGGCATTAACACAGATAAAGTTGTTTAGAGAGATGAGTTTTATCATGAGCAACACTGGTCCTCCATACTCTCTCCAGCATTTCTGCAGCTAGGGAGTACAATCTCATGACTCTTGAGTTTCCAGGTCCTGTCATCCTTCAGCCTTGCCCTGGTCCCCTTTCATTATCAAAACTGTACATGCCTTAAAGAAACAGGATGGAGTTAACCTTCTGGAAAGCTGCTGTCTTCCCTGCCTTTCTCACTGCCTTTTGCTAAAAGATCATAGTTTTGACTAGTTGTGTTTTTTACTCAAAACTCCAGTGCCTTTAGCCCTACAAATAGCATTTTGGCTACCAGAAAACCTAAAAGGAGCTACAGGGGAGCCCTGAGCAGAATTCTTCAACTGTCTGAGCCATCTCCCAAAATAGTTGAGGACATGTGATACTTCTGATTATTTTGAACCTGCTGGCAATATCCTGCAGCAGTGCTTAGATTTATTCAGCATCTCAGAAGGCAGAAAAGCCTCCCTAATCTCCACAGTGAAGAGATGCACTGTAAGCAACTGGCCTTCTTGTGGTATTTGATGGACTGTTTCCATCTGGCTGGACTATTTCACAGCATACTGCTCTGAGCTTTGTAGCACTTTATACTTACTCACAAATGCACAGCAGTATTTAGAGCTATTTCTTGCATGAGTTAGTCACTGCTGGATGGCCATCCATTAAAACCTCCACTGGGATATAAGCAGCAGACATCTGTCTGCACTGGAACTGAAGGTGTGACATGTAAAAGCACCTAAGCTACTGCTGGTTAACTACTGTGCCTGCCAATAGCAGGAAAGCTACAGACCTCAGCTCAAAACCCCACTGTGCCAAACCCACTGAGGAGCTTTGGAATTAATCTGGTAGCCAGATGTGTCACCAACATCAGTGGGTGAACAGCCATGATGGGCAGATCTCTACACACTGTGTTCTGGGAAATGTGCAGCCTCTGTGTGTGCTGAAGCAGCATTTGCCTTAAATTAAGGGAGAAAACTGGGTCAGGTTAAAGATATGAGGTTTTCTTAAATGAAAGCCTCTAGGAGTTAACTATGGGTTAGCTAAATGCAGATGGCCAAAAATGTAGAGTTTATGTGAACAACACACACCACATAAGCCCGAAAAAAAGCCAAACTGGGAAATCTTTTGAGAGAAAGCAACCTTTTTTTAGCATACTCTGGCACATGCTGCTTGGGACTAGGTCAGCAATGTCCCAGGAATAGGAGTTCACTGTATTCTTTTACATTTGGTTTTTGTCCCAGCAAGTTTGGAGAGGTGTGAAAACGAAAACTGGCTGTGCTGAAACATAACCAGGCTTTCTCTGATCATCAGGGAAGTTCAGCTCAGGTTTCAACCAGCAGCTTTGTGGTTTGGCATGAAAGAGACTATTCCAGTTCCTAGCAGGATGTAAACACCCTGGGTGAGCATTACTCTTCTTTGGGAGACCTCTGGCCACCTGCTCAAGCATTCATCCTTGCTCCGAGCTCATTACAAGTGCCCTGGGATTTGAGGAGGAGGAGGAGTGGCAGTAAATACATGTTTTGTTCACTGTTTAGGACAGCCTTGAATCTTTGCTATACACACCAGGAGAGAGGGTGAAAGGAAGCAGGTTCTGACACACACTTGAGGCTCTGCTCAAGATCCCCACGCTGTTTTACCTCAGGGTCTCCAAGCCTGCTGTACCCCAAGCCACACCACATAGCCTTTATGCCCCAACTGGAGCAAGACCTTGAAATTTGCTGGCAGATCCCCAGGGATCTCTGAAAAACATGTTCCCTCACAGCTGCTGCCAGCAGCCTGAGCAACTTGTCCCAGCCCAGTACTGTGCCCCTCACGGGACATTCCAGAACAATCCCTCTGCCTTCACAAGGTGTCCCTTGTGATGAGGTCACCCCTGAGCCTCCTCTTCTCCAGGCTAAACACGCCCACTTCCCTCAGCCTCTCCTCACAGGACCTGTGCTCCAGAACCCTCCTCAGCTCCATTCCTTTCTCTGGACCTGCTCCAGCACCTCAGTGTCCCTCCTGAACTGAGGGGCCCAGAACTGGACACAGGACTCGAGGTGTGGCCTCAGCAGTGCCCAGTGCAGGGGGACAATCACTGTCCTGGTCCTGCTGCCACACTATCACTGACACAGCCCAGGTGCCATTGGCCTTGTTGCCCACCTGGGCACACGCTGCCTCATGTTCAGCTGCTGTCGACCAGAACCCCCAGGTGCTTTTATGCTGGGCTGCTTTCCAGCCACTCATCCCCCAGACGGTAGAGCTGCAGGAGGTTGTCGTGGCCGAAGTGCAGAACCAGGCACTTGGCCTGGTTGAAACCTACAAAACTGGCCTTGGCCCATTGATCCAGCCTGTCCAGATCCCTCTGCAGAGCCTTCCTACCCTGCAGCCGATGGAAGAGCCGAGTCCTCTCCCCGCGGCACTGTCTCTGCGCTGGGCTGGAGCTGCCTCCCACAGCGCGGCGGTGCCCTCAGGCCCCTTCCCAGCCCCACCCAGGCACGGCGGTCCCTGCTCCCCCCAGCCCGCCCGCTGTCCCGGCCTTGGCTGCTGCGCGGCGTGAGGCGGCGGGAGCAGCCGAGGCGGGCCTGAGGGGCGAGCGGGCACAGGTGCGGGGCAGGGAAATCCCCGGGATGGAACGGACCCCCGTGAGTTGGCCCGAGGAGGGGCTGGGAGCCCCGCGGCAGAGTGGTGAGCGGTCAGGGATGAGCCTTGCTCTGCCCAGCTTCGCAGAACCCCTCAGTCACCGTGTTCAAACCAGCGAGGGTTCATGGTGTGCGTTTCCCGCTGACCGGTGAAGGGATGCTGTGACAAAAGCTGGGATCTGAGGCGCGAGCTCCTCAGCTGGAAATAATTGAGGCCGTTTGTGGGAACGGTGTGAGGGCGGCTGGAGCTGTTGTGTATGGGATGAGCGCTCCATGGGCTGGAGTCAGGCGAGGACCCCCAGGAACCCACACGTCGGAGATCAGAGCAGGGGTCTGCAGCCGCCAGGTGAGACCCTCAGCACCCACCCCTGCGCTGCCCCTTGGCCAGCTCTGCCCATGCCCCGCCGCCTCAGCATCTGGAGTCAGCCAGGAGGTACCTCAGAGCACCGCGGGTTGTTATCTGGCACATCCCCGGCGCATCACCCCCTGCGCGTTTCCCGGTGTTTTGCTTATTTCTGTAGTCACCGCAACACACCTTTGTTTGTTCCATTTGTATTAAGAAAGTTGGTCGGAGCACGGTGCTAATAGTTCAGAGGTTGTGGGTTTGATCCCCATATGGGCCATTCACTTAAGAATTGGACTCAGTGAGCCTTGAGGGTCCCTTCCAACTCAGAATATTTCGTGATTCAGATGCTCCTTCTTAATGTATTACCAACTGAATCGTGTCCTTTTCATTTTCGTTTCCATGCCTGTCGTTACCTTCCTCATTGTTCAAGATGATGAGAGTTCTCAGCACTTTCTAAAGGCCCCCTGATAGGAATGGGTGGGTTAGTACTTCCTTGCATTTGAGTGATTACTATAGCATTTCAGATTGTGCCAGCTTTCAGTGTATTCCTGTTCCATCATGGAAAAATTGTTCTTCTTCCTTCCCCTTCTGCAATTTTCTACTTAAGAGCATTAATGCATGGATACAATTATGCTAACATTAGGCAAATTGTTGCTTTGAAAAGTCCTTGTAATTGAATGACAGATGCTTATGACTGAATCCATTTAAATACTCAATATGACTAAAGTTACTATTCAGGGACCTGCTTAACATCCTGAGTACTCCTTCACTTTCAAGTGGAAATGGTGATTGGCACCACAGAGAGTTAGTTTGGAATTCCCAGGTTAGAAAATATACTATAGTGCTGCAGTAATTCAGGTGGTACTTGCACTGTATGTCTGGATGTAAATGAATCTGAAACTATGGTAGAATATAGATGAACAATAGTTTTATAGTAGTTTAACAGTTTTCTATTAAATAGTCCCTTTGTGGTAAACAACTGAAGGAGCTTTTCTGCCAGGTCTTATTGTATTTCATTACAGTATTTATAAAATGGAGAGCTATGTAGTTTTATTTAGAATGACTACAGAAAACAAAATTGAGAAGTGTGTTTTTCACTTAAAAAATTATGCATCTTTATCTTGCTGAAGTTTTGAAGTATTTGTAAATATAATTTTACTTAAATGTCTTCCCACAGTTAGAAAGACAAGGCAAATTTTCTGTGCATACCTACTTAGTTACTTCAAACTCCAGTCTGTGCTCTGTTATGCCAGATCTAACTCAATTTCTTTATTTTTTCAGACAGTCCAGACTTCTGAAGGTGGGACACTTTCGGATGTGCCTGAAAGTTAATGCTTTCTTCAAGGAGTCAACCAGCTAATTTATAAGGCGTGTGGAAAAAGGTAGGGATGAACTTTTATCTAATAGTTAGATCAGGACAAATTCCTCATAGAGGCCAGAACTTCCCTTCTTAAACAAGGCACTTCTCAAAGCAGTAAGTGCCCACGTTTAGAAACTAATCCACTTTCTGGAGGACATACACTTGATAATCTGCTAACTTCTCGATATTCTGATTCTCCCAGTACTCACTGACTTATAAGCCAGGTTCTCCTACACAAGGAGAAGAATTAGTGAATTTTGGATCTATAAGACTTTGATACAGGCTGTGGATTTAAAGATAATAAATTATTCATAAACAGTAGGAGGATTTTTTTGCTGAACAATGAGTTTACAGTGCTGGAAAATAGTAAATTTGCTCAACGTCATACATAGCAATAAAGTGATGTTGACTAGAGACCAAACATGACATTCAATCCAAGTGACTTTAATATGTAATGTAGAATATGGTAACTAAAATATAATACATAAAGCATATGTACATCAGATATGACATATATGAAAAATAGTTAACAAAATATGTTAAACAGCATATAAATGCATGTATCTTAGTTACATAATAAACCATGTATGTACTGAAATTTTATTAATCTGCTACTCAGATTTTAAAAGGTACCTGCATCAGATTTCTTCCCTATTCTTAAACTTAACAAGTTTGCACAAATCCTCTTTTTAGGTGTGTATACACATTCATTATGCATATGTATATATATATATTTATATGTACCATGCATGTACATTGTTCAGCCAGGAGTTTTATCTTTTTCATTAAGTAGAAGTCAGAATACGTAACGTTGTTCTCTCTTAAATATCCCTGATTTTACCTGCAACTTTACTGTGTGTCCTATGCATGTGCTGTAAAGTGTAAGCATGTAGAACATCCTGCCACCAAATGCTCCAGCTTATTTAGAACAATGAAATATTGTGAGTGAAAAAAAGTATTACTGTAGGACTTGTTAGTTCACATCACTGACATTTGATTGGAATACAAGAATGCCATTTTAATACTTTGCTTTTGGAAGGAACACTTACCTGACAGTTCATGTGGGTCTGATATTTCTCTCTCTATTTTTTTCAGACATTTTTACTAGTATGAGATTATGTGCACTCAATTTTTATAAAGTGGTGAATGATCTCTCTTTCATAGCAGTAAGTGGGGGTTTGTGAAGAGTACTCAGGTACCTGATCTTTGTGCTGGGAGTTCCAAAAATACCTCTGAAACTCCAGTGAACTCTGCATTAACAGAAGGAATATAAAGAATGGAGGTCTTCAGGAGAATATTTTTTTTAATGATTTTTCCAGAACATTTCTGTACATTTTAGTGAACAAGGAGATGAGGAAAAAAAAATTTTTGCCTAATGATGTTCCTCAGGAGTTGGATTTGGGACCAGTGCTGTTTAACAGCTTTGTCAGTGCCATATACCGTGGGGTTGAGGGCACCCAGCTGTGTGGGGTGGTTCCCGTGCTCGAGGGAAGGGGTGCCATGCAGAGGGACATGACAGGCTGTGTGTGAATGCTGGCCCTGCACAAGAGGAGTAAAAGCCCATCTTCCATGTCTGTGCTCATCCTGTCTGGATTCAGAGCCCAGCTTTAGGGTCAGTGAGGGCAGCAGCAGAAGTCCTGCAGTGGGAAGCTGTTGGCTCCTCCCAGTGTGAAGGGTAGAGAGGAGATTTGTCTCCTTTGTGGCCACAAAATCACTTTTCTCTTTCTGTTGCCTTTCTTTTCCTCTGTGATGTTGGTTACTCAACCTGAAATCTAGGGAAGAGATGTGCAGGATGCTACAAGGATGGGAAATTCTGCCTCTGCTCCCTCGAGGCTCTGGGCTGGAATTTTAAGCCCAATGTTTGTTATCATTTTATTAGCCCAAATTTAATACGTCATTTAGTATTTCTGGAAAGAATGACTACATGATGAACTGCTCGACATTTTAGGCTTTTAAAGGTTAAATGGCAAATTCTGAGCAGTCTTCAGAGATGTAGTTTTGTGCCATGGAAGAGGGTCTTAAATACCCATCATTTATATTTTCAGGAGATACTCGTGGTAAATTGACTGCATTCTGAAAAGTTGGTTTGTATTGGCAGTCCTGGAGTGTTAGAGAGAAGCTCTCCTCTTGTTAAGTGTAGAGTAATGCTGAGAAAGTTCCCTGTCTAGGGGATGTGGTTTCATTTTAAAGCACCAGTCTTGGAGCATTATGCATTTTTAAATGCAAATTCTTCCAGATCCAGGCATCTCTTAAATACTGTGATTATGTATTCTTTACATTATAAATGATTGAAGGTAGAAGTGATCTTAACTTTAGACATCAAAATTCAGGTGTTTAATCTAATCTGGTTTTCCCTTGCTGCAGTCCCAGTCTCATAGGTCCTTCTTCCACATTTCCCCATGACAGCAAACCTCAGGGCAAAGATACTGCCCTTAAATCCTGTCTGAGGCAGGAGACTGGATGTGGAGGTTATTAAGATCTCTTCAAACATGCCATGGCCACATTCCATTTACAAAGCACAGTTGTTGGTTTTTTTCAACTTCTTCTCAGAGTAAGAGACAGCCAAGACCAGATTCAAACTGGGGTATGAAAACAACGACTGTTCTGTTAAACTGACTCCAAGGGTGCCACAAAAAACTGAAAACTGAGTTAACAATGTATCTTGTCCAGTCCTTTGAGACTGATTTTTAAATTAAAAGAAGAAGACTTTGTATAAGATTGAGTGCAGCTGTTATCATGGACATAAATAACAGGTTTTCTCTCATTTAAAACAGAATCAAAGAAGTTATCTTTTTGATTGTGATTTGCAAGTATAACTTGTTATTCTATTCACAATTTCTGCTATGATAAATACATGTCTTTGGACAATATAGGGCATATTCTGCTTCCTGATATTTTTGTTTGTTTAAAAAATACCTTTCCTCAGGCAGTAAGTCTTGCCACACCAATATAATCTGCAGTTTAGAACCTCGTTGCTTTGAGATGGTTAAACAGTTGTCATAAAATACATAGAGCTTTTCTCTAAAATTAAAGAAAAAATAGTACACTGAAAAACAATTTTGCCTCCTCATAACAACTTCCCAAGTGAAAGCTCATTCTGCATGTACCCCTGTTTTAAAAAAATAGTGGTATTTTCAGTTGTGTGGCACAATGCGACCGAAATATGCCACCTTTTCCTCATAAACCTTGTCATGCCTTTTACAAAATCCTGCTGAAGTTGGTTGTGTTTTTAAAAAAGAGTATCAGTTAACCAGCCATCTGCAAGCATGGCTTCAGGGGTGTGCATGGCTGTCAGGAACTCCTGTTAGTCAGTTAGACAGACCAGCATGATTTGTTGCTGCAACACCTCTGTTGGGATCTCTAGAGAGAAATCCTTGTTGATTCTGGTCTTGGTATAGCATCCTGGAACTGTCTCATGCTGTACTACGTGTTGGGGGGACATCCATATCTACAAACGGATTCTTCAGTGTCGCACCTGCAATATAAACAAAAACATCTGATGTGTTCATCTGTTTTTTTCAGGTTGTTATTTAAATACATTGGTGAGTGAATGAGGGAAAATAACTAAAACCAGAAATAAAAACCGGCTACCACCACAATGCAACTGGGGTCAGATTAGCAATAGCATAAGAATTTCCTGTTTTGTTGATTCCAAGTAAATAGTGTTTCAGTCAGAGAACACTGCAGTGCTTAGCATTAAAATCCATCTCTTTCTGGAGCTCCAGTAAATCTGTTACCTTAATGCTCATTAAATATCTACTGCTGTAGAACATACTAAGAACACTTCTCAGAGAGTAGTGCTGTGAACAGTGTCAGGGCCTTGTGTCGTGGCACAAGAAATGAAAGGAGTGCTCCCCTCCTCAGACAGATGCTCTCACTCTAATTTTGTCCCGTTTTCAAAGTTCAACTCACAAGCCCCAATGTAGTTGCACTGCAGCCTTCTAAGCTGCATGCAGTGGCTCTTTGTGGAAGAGAAAATGCACCTTCTGTGCTGGTGAGGACAAACAAGTCTAGGGTACCTTGTCAGCTTTGTCTCATCTTCCATCTACCTGCAAGTGTCTTTTTAACAGGAGTTTTGTCATTAAGCTTCTGAATTTCCATGAGATAAGTAAAGCCCTCACCACTCCTAAAAATGTAGTTATATTTTTTTCATGATTCTTTCCAGTGATGCAGCACAATGGTTTCCCAGATTTTTGCAGAGGAACCTCACCTTAAGGAATCGAAGGCGGAGATCTGCAATCAGTTCTGTTTGGTTTTAGTATTCCCCCAGCAACTGCAGTTTTCCCAATGTCCCCCCTACCCAGCCCAGACCTCCTACACTTCCCTTTCTTTGTTGCTGTCCTGTTCCCTTCCTGTGGCATCTCTGTCTCTGCTGCTGGCTCAGATAGCAGTGTCACTAAAACATAGCAAATAGATTTGGATAGATCAATCTATTTCCCTCTGGTGTCATTTATGTATCAGAAATGGTTAGTGCCCTCTTACTGTTTCCATTTACATTTCATGTAATTGGAAATATAAGACACCTCTGCACTCCTGCAGTACTCAAGTGGTTTTTGTTACTGAAATACTGATGCTTTGTGTCTCCTGTACACAATCAGCCTGTCAGCATCCCGAGGTAATAGCAGAAATGGCTCCCTAGTTTGTGCCCATGATCCAGCTGCTGGGAATATCTGCATTCCTGCCTGCTCCACTGACCCAGGCACGCTTCCCAAGCAGGAAGGAGGCCTCATCCTTTGAGAATCCCAGACACAAATACTGCAGCAGTATTTGGCAGGCCAGCACAGGAATTTGTGATATTCATGAGCCTGCTACAGTTTATTTTCCTTGATCTGGAGGCTGTTTCTTAACAGGGGCTAGAAGGGACTGATGGGCCAGTTTGGATCTCCTGCACTGTGCAGCACCACTGGGAGCTGTGGAGCGTGTCCCTTTCCGGCACTCCACGATTTTCCCACTGCTGGGGGAGCACTGACCCCTCGTGGCTGAGCTCCGGTTCTGGGCCCTGGCTACGTCCCCTCTGTGGCTCTGCTGGAGCAGGCTCAGGCTTCGGGGTCCAAGCTGCAGAATTTTTACATAATGGATGTGTTTTGTGCTGGGCTTTGTTGCCAGGGTTGATGAGGCCAGGTCGCCTGCAGTGAGTTTATCAGGTTGGCTCCCAAGTTGTGTCATGCCTAAGATTTTTTGCTAAGAAGCTCAGTTTCTTCACTGTGCCCAAGTCATTCAGGATGCTTGCATAAAACGAGAGTTTTGGCACCTGCAAATCCCCTTGTAACCTAAATGTTGGCAGTTCTGGAAAAAAAATCGCAGAGGTTTAGAATGTGTCTGGAAAAAAAGATATGAAAAGCTGCCCAATGTGAAGGTCTCCTGTGATTGTTTGATTGCTGTGCTTCTTTGTGTGGAATGCACACTGCAAGCTCCCAGTGTTCAGAGAGGTGTTTCTGTCAGCTTATTGAAGGAACGTAGTTTGCAGTTCTCTGAAGCCCCATGTGTGGTGAAAAATGACACCCAAGCCCTGTCACCCTGGTGAAATAAACGTCCTATCCATTCTGCAGTGAGGTGAGTAAAAGACTCAGGGTGGTGATGTGCTTATTCAAAACAGTCCATATCAGCATCAGAGCTGGTAACAGGACAGGGAAGTTTTTAATGTGTGTTCCCTACTCTGGCCCTGGAACTTGCTGTTTGATGGTCCAGAGGACAATAAGGACAAGGGTACAATACAGTGGCTCTGGTAGCAATTGTGAGAAATGTGCAGATCTTACCTGATGATCTGAAGTGCTAGGAACCCTAAACTGTGCCTGTAACCACTGAAAATCTGAAAACACCTGTGAGCATGTCGGCCCTCACAAGGATCCAGAAAGGATTTGGACAGTACGGCATTCCAGTATTCCCATGTCCTGTTCACAGCCGTGTCACTGGGCATGGGCTGCCGCGTACATCGGGCTGGCCTCGGGAGGTTCCAGGGCAGGCCTTTGGTGCTGTTTTCCTTGTGCGGGTGGCTCGTTTGGTGCAGCAGCGTGTGCCGGAGAGCACGGGGAGGCGCAGCAGAGCAGCAGGAGCGGCGGCTGGAGAAGGGAGGATTGCAGCGAGCTGAGAGTCAGGTCTGGTAGCGAGATTTTCGGGTCCTGACAGGGTGTCCGGCGGAGCAGGAGGGCTCTGCAGACTGTCACTTCTGAGGTCGTCATCCTTACTAAATCCAGTTCTTTTGCAGAATATCTGACATTTTAGAATTTCCTAGGCAGCAACTCAGTCATTCCATCTGCAGATTTCCTGCAATTTATGGGTGAATATCAGCTCAGTCTTTACTGGATCATTTAATTACTCAGTTCCTGAGCAGCTCCCCTTTTCCAATGCAGTTTTCATGACATCTCAGCTCTACCAGCAAATTAAAACTGTGAAATAGACTCAGTGATGTCCCAATTCTCATTTCCTTCCTCCTACAATCAGGTTTGGTGATTTTTCTTTTTTTCTGGTGTGACTTCTTCCTTTATCAGTTGAATTGCTAACCCTTGTTGGACATGCTTTGAATTTTTCAGTTATTTTTCTTCATACCTAAAGAACATATTTCAATCTTTTGCTGGCTGCAGCAGAACACTGGCCCTTTAAGGCCAGAGGGGATGTTTTGCAAGATCAGTTGCTCCTGTGCCTAAGGAAATCTATTAAAAAAATATTTGATGTAGCCTTTGCTGGAGAGAAGAGTGTCTTGGGAGTTATTAATGTCAGGGGTGAGTTAGAATGTAGGGCCACTGTCCCCTTAAGGGCCTGGGATGAAGAATCCTACATTATAAGGTTTCTCCTCTCATCTGGGACAAAGATATGCCTGTTATCCCAGCCTCAGAATTAAGAGTGATTAAATGAGTGAAGTTGACCATGTATTTGATGGAAGATTGGTCTAATATGGACTCTCCAAGCTAAGAGAAAAGCCCTCTGATTGCAGCTGAAGGGAAACAGGAGGAGGAGATTCTAAGTCAAGGAAGTCTGGACTGGAAGGTTATTAACACCATCAGTTAAGAGATCAATAGACCTCTACATCTGCCCCACAAACCCGTAAAAAAAAAAAAAAAAATTAGAAAGCTGATTAGCTTAATTTAAGTAGACACTGGGAACGGGAAATTGAGGCAAGCTCTTTGCAGGAGCTGTTCCTACCATGAGGGAATGGCCCTGAAGCATTCTTTGTCTAGCCTGGCAATTGAACTGCTTATAATAACCTTGATACCAAGGTTATTTATTAGCTCTGCTATCACACAGAGCTAATTGCTCCAGCTGCTGTGTAGGTTGGAAGTTAGCTGGGAGTTTTCTGAAGGAATGATTTTCAGATGGAGAATATGCTGCTTTTCAAAAGTTTAAATATTATTTGTGAAAATTCAGTTTTACTGGGACAATAAAAAAAAGCTTCCAGAAAAATAAGAAATCCACCTCACTACCTAGGGGATTTAACAGCAGAACAGAATGGATGATAAACAGCGTGCACAGAACAGGCAGATAATCCATCTCAGTGGTCTACCATGGAGATATTCAGAAACTCCCTTTCCCTGAAAAACCTTAGTTTTAAAAAACTAAATTGGCCTGATTTTTTTAAAAACTGGAGGGTTTTCGTTTCCCAGTCACCCCTGTTTCAGGGCATGTATCATTTCAGAACAGAGCCTTGAGCACACTGCTGCACACTAACAAAAATAAGTACTGTGATTTCTATTCAGAAACACATTTTGTAGGAAATTCCCAGTACTACTGGCAATAGTGGGTGGGATTTCAGCCCTGCTGAAGGCTGACCACCCACATGGACTGCAGCTGTGCTGGTGCCCCGTGAGTTCAGAGGATCTCTGTGCAAGGGCCAGCAGACCTTGATGCTGTAATATTACATCTCTGAACACTGTGCAGTTTTCCTTGCTTGTAGACCTCAAATTCTTGTTCATAATGGGCTTTAGAGAGGGAAGAAATCCAGCACATATTCCCTGTCCTTCTCCAGCCTTTATATGTCACTCCAGAGTTCTTAAGAAACCAAAGAGTGTTTTCTAGGTAGAATAAAGGTTCCTCCATAGCTCAAAGGCCAGGATTGTACTACTGATTTTGTGATGAAGCAATTATGCACAGATCAGTACCTGGGGTGTGACCTAAAGTCACTTGTGCACAAAAAACAGCTTGTCACTCACAGGTAATCAAGAAGCTACACTGTAAAAATCTTTTTTTTTTTTTTTTTTTTTTTGCTGTTGTAAGCTGAATCCACCTTGGAATGCTGTGCCAGCATAGTATACTGCATAATATTATAATCCATAGCACCTGTGCTGACAGGGCATCTCCGAACTTGCAAGTCCCTCCTTTCCCCAAACTACACAATAGAAAAGGCACAGAAAGAAAATAAAGGAAGAGCCTCTTTAACTGCTTCTTGCTGGAGAAACAGTAATTTAGGAGTAACACGGTCCCTGGTTGTTCTGCACTTCTGAGCAAACTGTTCATAGCAGTTTGTATCTGACCCCATAACTCAGTGACAAACTGCAAAGGTCAGGCAGCCACTCTTCCCTGCCTTTCTTAACTGCATCATGTGCAGTGTTTTTCTCCTCCTTCATGACTGTATTCTTTCTGTGAATCTTTTCACGTCTGCAGACCCACCCTAAAAAGTGTCATAGCAGAAAATGGTTTAAATTAGATATTTCATGAGTATGTGAACAAATGGAATTATCACAAAGTGATAAAATAACTGATACATTATATAGAAATTTCTCTTTCCTTTTTTTTTCATCAGAATTGACTTGAGTAACATCCTTTTGGAATGCTGGCTCTGAGAGAAATAGTGTCTGAGCTCTGTTGTGCTTTTGTAAATACCCAACAGTCCCTGTAAGTTGAAAAATCATCACATGCTTAGTGCACTTGATTATGGGGGCAGGGCCAAGCTGTCAGAATCTGTCTTAATCTCTGATTCCAAACAAAGTTCACAGTTTTGCTGTCTGCAGCTTGTTCCCATCCTCATCGTCTGCTTCACAGCTCATGTTCAACCTCTGAGTCAAGGTCACCGTCAGTCTGAAAATCAATTTTCCATGCCTCCATTACGCCTTCCTCAAGCTTATTTCTTTTCTTATCTCTCTCTCTGAAAGAGCTGCCTGCACAGCTAAGGCTGATGCAAAAGTTCACATGTGCAATATCTTAGCCAAATAGGAAACCTATAATAAAATAGTCTGTAAATAATCTCTTCCCCAGTTATCATGAGCCTTTCAGATTATTTATATTGGTTAGTCATTTAAATCTCATCAGTGCTCCATTGTGCTGCTGTTGATTGAAATGGTAATGAATGCTATACAGTCCCTCAAATTGTTCAGTTTTTAAAAAATGCATCATTTCCAGGCAGTTAGCAGAGTTACAATTGCATCTGGCTCATTGATTGCCATGTACGAGCTGGCTGTGTCTGCAGGGCACAGTCAGTCTGGATTGCAGTGAATCCTGTGTCATCTTTGTGTTGCACATCTATGGTATATTTGCTGACTTGCTAAAGTTAAGGTCAGCAAACAAGCCCCCAGCAACCAACAGAAAGTAGCAAACTGGTGAGAAGTATGTTTACAATTAATTTTATTGAGGCAACTCCTTTCCTTTTGCTGGGTACAGCCCATTATCCTGTAAGTCACTGCACTGCCTTTGACTCAAAATTCTCTCTCTGTTCTCTCACCCAGACTGTGTCTGCCTCTGGTTCATTCTATGCATAAAATCCTTTTATCCATCTGTCTAAGGCTGTAATTTATGTTATGTTTGTATTACCTCTAAAATTTCTGATCAAAATTTCCCTTGCCTCTGGCCTTAAGCAGCACAGTCTTGCCTGTTCATATCCACTTAGTGTTATCATTAAAAATATCAAATTTTTTGTCTGTTTAATTGAACACAAATACTTGCTGCTTTTTGTATTTCCCCTCATTTATCTTACTCCATCACATCCATCATTTGATGGTTGACCCTCCCCTTCCAAGGCTTCTGAAGGCCAATCTCTGTCCTGTCAGTTGTATCCTAGCCTACCTAAATGCTGATTCATGTTTGTGATTAGTCAACACTATGAGTCTGCACTATCTCCTTGTTATGCTTCCACAGAAGAAATTTAATGTTTTGTTCCATGGAGCTTCTTGTGTGTAAATCCATCCTTAACAGCATGAAAACTCTAGATGGTACTTCCATTTCTGAAGGGCTGACTGGTAATTTTGCTCTTGCAAAACTGAAATTGAGATTGGCTTTTGCCTGAATATATTATGTGGTCATTAACTGTGGTCATTGGTGCTAGAGGTTACAAAATCCTGTTCATTTTTACCTCCTTGGTGTATTTATAAGGCCAATTGTTGTGATATTGTTTTGAGAGTAAGTAACTAATATGTAGATCTATACAAGTTTTCTAAGCTTCACTGGAATGCAAATCTACATGAAGCAGTGATGTGACACACAGGGGAACAAGCCTAATTTTCCCTCTGGAACAATTCCAGATGTAAAATGGATGCTTCCACTCTCAGGTCCAAATTAATGTCACTTCCTCTTATTGAAGAAGACCTGACAGCAATAAATAGAGCTGGAGAGAAATTGCCAAGTGTTACATAAAAATTTATTGGCTTCATTTTGAGCCATGATGAAAGAAGGCAAATCCTTCACTTTTCCTGTTATAAAAGGTCCTGGGTCATGTAGAGTTTAAAGAGGTAAAAATAAAATGGGACCATTTCCAGTGCAGAACTTCAAGTAATTTGTCAACCCTTCAGCAGAGCAGATTGACAGGGGCAGCTTCTCATACTGGGGCAGGAATGTTTTAATTCCAGGAATGTGTGGGCAGGATCCCATCTCTGTACCAGAACCTGTGTGACGGAACGGGAAGGCATGGGAAGACACCAGCAGCTCCTTGGTGGTGGGTTCACATGCACCACTTCATGGGAGAGGTCTGAAAGTTCATCAGTCTCTCTCCTGTCAACTCCTCTGAGTTTTCTGTGCCACCCTTAACAGGAGATGGTGCCTGTCTGAGCTCAGAGGTTGTGGAGCCCTCCTGAAGAGACTACTTGACACGCTAATCTTTCCTGAAGAAGACAACTGTACTCTGAGAGACAATTACACTCTCAAAGGGGGTTATTAGCAGACAAAAAAAAGCCTTGATAACTAAGCTCTTTTTCTTGCAAGTGCTCAATTCGCACCTTGCAAGGTAGACAAGGAAGCCATCCATACCTCCGGGGCTCTGAAAACTGTTGAGGGGTTTAAAGAACAATTCTTTAAAAATGCATCAGTGGAAGTAGAGCTACAGAGACCAGGTAGTCTCCTTAGGT